AACCCAAAGATATATATATATATATATATATATATATATATGTATATATGTATATATATATATATATATATGTGTATATATATATATATATATATATATTAGCAGGTCGTCATTGAAAATGAAGATTCTCTATTGACTAATCTGGTTAAATAAAGGTAAAATTACCCAACTTTCTGACTTCCCTTCTTCTTCTTCTCTGCAGTTCTTTGTGTTTTGCCACAGTTTGCTGCAGCTGGCACAGCTGTTGGTGTCGGGCTACATGAAGAGCTCCATCTCCACCATCGAGAGACGCTATGGCCTCTCCAGCCAGAAGTCAGGAGTCCTGGCTGCTTTCAACGAGGTCAGAACGGGATGCTTCCTGCAGTTTGTTCTCTTCTCTGCTCGTAAACATCACTGCTCCTCCATCTTATTATGTGCAGACTATAAAGACTTATAAAGAGCAATGTTGGTAATTTGGAATCTCCATCTCCTCATTGGACCCACGTTTCAGCCACAGTTCCCGAAGTCTGCCTCAACTAAACTCAACTCAACTTTAAGTCCAACATAGGTCCAGAATAGGGCCCGCAATGGTCTTACATTTGGCTATGATATGGCTACATAATGGGCCATAACTTGCTTCCAGGTCTACTTCACTGCTGTATTTAGGCAGACTGTATGGGCCGGACTAATTTTGCTATGTGGGACGTATCTTTAGAGTTCTGTTTTTAAACTCAGACTTCATTCAGCAAGAGTGATATATTTCTGTGTGCTATGACCTTTAACCTGCACGGACAACAGCTCCTACACTTCTGACTCATGTTTATTTTCCCGTCAGAATAAGACTTTTGTTTGTGTGTCCAGGTGGGAAACACGGTCCTCATCGTCTTTGTGAGTTTCTTAGGGAGTCGAGTCCACCGGCCGCGCTTCATTGGAGGAGGAGCTTTGCTGGCCTGCCTGGCCTCGCTGCTGATAGCGATGCCGCACTTCCTGAGCGGACCATATGACTACACCGACCGCATCAGCTGTGAGATCAAACACACAAATCCCCCAAAAAAGCCTCTGAAATAGTGATTCTCATCTTGATTTGATTTGATTAAAAACTGGGTTTATTCCTAAGAAACTGGATAGAAGGAAGATACAAGTTAGTTAATTCCTATGGAAATTACCCAGATCTTCCGCATATGACAGCTGATAAAACTGATAAAATCATTTAATCGTGCAGCTTGTCTAGACTTTTCAAACATTATCGGATCAAATTCTGATGGTGAAATGAGTCATTTCGCAGGGGTTGTGACGCTCAACAAAATAGATGAGATATTTTTCTTGCTCATCCATATACGACCTCTCATTCTGATCTCAGGACAAATTCAGGACATGAGGCTGGAACAATGTAGACTCACCCTCCCCTTCTGTTTCCCATCAGCCTCCGGGGATAACAGCTCTGGCCTCTGCCAATCAGAGAGCACCCTCACCACCTCATCGTCCAATCAGAGCTGCAGCCAGAAGGAGAGCCCCGCCCAGCAGGTGGTGTACCCTCTGCTGCTGCTGGGTCAGCTGCTGCTGGGTATCGGAGCCGTCCCCATCCAGCCCTTTGGCATCTCCTACATCGACGACTACGCCAGCAAGAAGAACTCGCCGCTCTACCTCGGTGAGCTCACTGAGGAAACTCTGAATTATCCAAACAGTCCGGTCCTGGTTAGTAAAGTGAACCACCACCAGAACAGGTTTTCCAGTCAAAGAGATTTTAATTATGCTAGCTATGCAAACTTACCTGCCTGCAGTAGTGGAGACAAACAGCAGTTAGTCTACCCATCACTTACTGACTGATTAGCAACTAGGTGTGGAGCAGCACATTTACATTTAGTCACTTCATGTGTCTTCTGATCTGATATCGATCCAATCTAAAAAAAATCCCAGTGTAAATGCAACCAAAAAGCATTCAAGGTGGATTGAAATCAAGTATGTCCTCAGGCAGCTGAAGGTGGCTAAATTAAAGTTAGTGGCATCATGGATCACGTTAGATGGGGAAGTCATTTTGCAAGCTAACCTTCGCCAACTGACCTATCCACTCAGATAGATGTTTTGTTGGCAATACAACTAGTGAGCAAGCAAGCTAATGGACGCTAGCCTGAATAACAGTCTGATCAGCACCAGGAGTCTGGATGAAGCTGGCTGCCAATATTTTAATACGTTAAGTTATTGCCACCTGTCTCACCTCCTTAAACCTATTATAATTGTATTATTAAAAGAGCATTATGTAATCCACTTTCTTTTACTTCCCACTGTTAAATAACAGCGGTGTAAAAAAATTTCTCTGACTTTGAACATTATTGGAAACATTTGGGATAATGTGTCATTTTTTTCAGGTAACGCTGCGTTTCATCGGTCACCTGTCAATAACAATTTAGCTTTAGTCTCAGCCTGTTAGTATGATGTCGTAACCTGGGACATTTTAGCTTCAGCCTACGTCTGTTGTTATTCAGTTGGAAGCCACTTTTTTACCATCCACTGTTTAGATCTTGGTGGTTTTCAACTCTAGATTTGAACCGGGCTAGGCTATGATCGAGATGTTTCCCAAGCATGCATTTGGCTCATTTTCTTTTCCTTGTCTGATCTGCTGGCTCTCTGCTTACCTAACAAACCTGTTTTGAACCTGATCCGTGCACAGGAATTTAAATGTCAACAAATCACCTGAACTGTACCTCAGTGTATTACGTTTCCCTCAAAACGAATCTTGCTGTTACAGATCAGTTCATATAAACGTAACTTCTAGGAGACAGGGCTGGTCACTAACAGATCTGAATGGCATCAGTCAGGGTTAGGGTTACTAGCAGTCCAACATAAAATAATCTCTGACACTCTTGCTGCTTTTCTTCACACAAGCCAAACAATAAAGTTATTATACTTTTCTCCGACTCCCAGTTAATCTCCGCCATGAGAGCAGAGTTTTGTTATAACCTTTACTTGGTCCCAGACTTAAAATAGGCCTACAATACGGCGACACAAGCTTGCATAAAACTCAATAATCACTTTTAGTTACAGGAAGTCTTTCAGCCAGCAGCAACACATTATCCACCTAATCTCATGTTGGCAAAAACAAACTCTTTCAGCCTGCAGCAACAAAACTTAAATAAATACTTGACGCCTTCCCTCCGAGCCCAAAGAATAAAAAGTATGTTATTTAAAATTTATGCCACAAATCAAATAGTTTTTCCTGAAACAAATAACACAATTATTCCCATTCCCAAGTCAACCCTTAATTCCCACAGACCCACTGTCTTTGATCCAATCAGGCTGCCGGAGAGAATCATAGAGAACTAACATTACATTATTGAGCGCTGGTTAGTAAAACGGATATGAGAAATAATTGTATTGTAGTTTGTTCTGTTATTAAATTGGCGTTACATTTGTTAAACAATGCATTATGACTTGAAACTCCAACGGAGAGTCCAATTCTTTTCTTTGCTTTGACAGTGTTATAACACACATTGCAAGCAAAACAACCACAAACACAGTAGCATTAGCATAGATTTACTAAAATGTTCAGCAACTAGAAGCTTTCTAGATATTAAAACTCTTGATTGCTGTCATCTCTCAACTTCGAGTTACTAATAATATCTTTAATTCTTTCTAGCAAGCATTAGCAGTGAAATTAACACTGCACACAGAAAAAAACCTTTAAGGTGGTTCAAGCAGACAGACTAAAACCTCAGTCACTTCTCTTCTGACAGCAGTGGTCTTCATCGATGTTCATGAGGTGTTTCTTGCTCATGCTTTTCAGGAATGCTCCTCGCTGTGACCTCCATCGGCCCGGCTGTCGGCTTCATCACCGGCTCCATCATGCTGCGCTTTTATGTCGACTTTGACAAGTTATCCAAAGGTGAGGAGACACAGCTGGGCTGTACAAACCTACACAATACCTCGAGTACAGTCAAGCTCATTTATAACACTTGTTTTAAAAGGAAGGGGAGGATTTCCTGTATGTGTCACTAATATTTGTGGGATTTCAGTCTGTATAAGTGTGAAAACACTTGAAAACACTGAAAAGCTGATTAATATTGGTCATTTCCTCACTGCAGATATAAAAACACAGAGCAGAGAGTTGCTAATAAAGGAGACAAAGGAAATAACATTCATGCTGTCTTACTTATGTAATGTGTATGTTTGTTGTATGTTTATGTAATATGTTCAGTAGTTATTAAGTTAAGTTATTTGACAACTGGTCAATCTTTATGTGTCTGAGTCAATACAGGTTCCCAATGGACTTGAGACCAAAGAAACAAGAAAAACAAAAAAACATGTAATATTCTTCATCCTTTGTCACTGTTTCATAATTGACTTAGTTAAAACGTGAACAACGTAAATCTGCCAGAATGTTATTGATTATAACTCAACCCCACAATCCGGTCTCACTTCCAACTTGTCAAATACTGCCACTTGGTCATTTCTGGACGTGCCCACCGTCAAAGTCAGGTGACGTAGCATAAAGAGTGAGAAAGTCCACACATGGAGGAGGTGGGGTGGCTTGAACAAACACAGCTGTGAAACCGAAAGTTAACAACATACTTTAAGTATCATATGTAAGTTATATCAGGCACATAACCCTAACCCCTTTCCTAAACCTAACCAAGTAGTTTTTGTCCCTAAATCGTTTCACAACATTAACCACTCAAGCTGTATTTTGAAAGTGTAACGGGAAGTTGCAGATTTGTAATCTGTAATTGCTAAATTGACCTTGGACGCTGCACGTCCTCAAATCATGCTAGAACGGTACCTGAAGCTTCATATTTTGAGGCGGAGGGCCACTGACCAAGCAGCATTATTTGATGAGATGGCAGTGGGAATGTGTCCACACCTGCACCCCAGCAGCAGTGTTGTGAAATAACCAAACAAAACCCAGTCTGAAGTGTTTGCTTGAAAAACACTGAAAGATTAAGACCTCCAGTTCAACAGGTGTTTCATACAGGGGAGTGTCAACCGTTGGGACTTTGTCACCATAATGTTTGTCCCAGGTAAAAATTCAGATTCATGTCAAGACTGGCAACAAAATTGCACAGGTGTGAGTCACAACACAAATGACGTCTTCCACCAGTTCTAGCTTGTAAATCAAAATTATAAGCTGATACTGTCATTTAGAGCAGATGCTTATTTGACACAGTTGCAGCTTCAAACTGTTGCTTTTTTCCTTTAAATTGTTTTTACACTTTAAGAGTGTTTAGCTGAATAATTGTATATGTGTATTATTATAATTGCTACTAGTTACAGCAGTAATAGTTTTACTGTTTACCTTTACTTAACCAGAGATGAGACTTATTGGAAGTTTTACAGAAGCAAAGACAACCCAGACAAAATAAATGGATTAAAATTAAGGTAAAATATCAAATATCCTAAAGTGATAAAATCTACAATTGTAGAGTGATCTTACATCTGTGTCAGTGATCTTACATCCAGGTACATATCAGAGACATTACACCACAGAGAGCTCACTGCTTCAGGCTACAGTGAAGTTTGATGTTAGTAGTTTGTTTAACAGTTGTCTTTAAGGTAAATCAACACTTCACAACCTGCCTGACCTCCATTTGTTCGTGTAGGAAATAGTCGTGCAGCCTCAGTCAGAACCTCGGTCAACTCCCTCCTTTCCTGTACTTAGATAGGGTTATGTTGTGTTTTGGGTTGTGCTGAATTAGGGCACTGGCACCATTTTTGGTCTAATTCAGGCACTTGTTTAACTAGCTAATTAGCAAGTGTTTGCCAACATTATGGAACTCATACTGTATGTATATTAGCATATGTAGGCACAGGAAAGGAGGAAGCTGACACGTTCTGACCGAGCACAGAGCAAAAAATGGCAGGACTTAAGAAGGGTCAATATCATCATGAAAGTATACCGGAAATTCAGCTTTTTAGATATAATAACAGTAATAATGATAATACACTTTATTTATATAGAAACTAAATTGGGTTTTTTAAAGTGCGAAAACAACAGGAATCAAACACTAAGGACCATCACTGACAATATATAGAATAATAACTGAAATAAGCAGTAGCAATAAATAAAAATGAAAGATAAAACAATTAAATAACATTAAAACCATGGTTAGAGAGACCTTTATGTTTACCACCAGGTTTTGGAAACCACCAGCAAATTCCACTCATTCAGGATTTAAAAATAAAAATGTCACTTTTAAATCCACACAGGAAGTACAGAGGAGAAAGGATCAGTGTTATGTGTTCTTGTTTTCTGATACCTCTGAGTCCTTAATGCTGTTTTTATATCAGTTGTAAAGAGAAGAGAAAGTGTTTGCTGCAAACGGAGAAAAGGAAGTTACAATAATCTACGAAGATTAAATAACACATCAACAAGAACACAGAGCATTGATTTTTGCCAGCTCTGCTCATATTTCGGGACTCACACAGTTTGTTGATGTTCAGTGAAACTGGTTGTGTGAAGCCTCTGAGATTAATGGAGCATGACTTTCTTTAGAGGCTTGTTCAAACACAAACTTGTTCCTTTACACCACGTGGGGCGTGTGAATAGAGGCAGGAGGTGATTGTGTGATTGTGTAAGTCAGCGTGTGTGTGTGTGCGTGTTTATGCATCCATGTATAATATGTGTGTTTAGGAGGACGTATGTGTGTGTGTACTTGTTTTTGCCCTCACCTTGTTGGGACCAGTAGTCCTCATGGGGACCAAAGACTTTTCGTCGTCCTCGTTAGGAGTAAGGTGTGAATATCAATCAATCAAACTTTATTTGTATAGCAGCTGTCATACAGTTGAGTGCAGTTCAAAGTGCTTTACAGACGACTGACAGGAAGATTATAACACAGAATGGACTAAAAATTAAATACGGTAGATTTAAAAGTAGAAATAAAAACAAAAATCGATTTTACAGGTAAAAAGTTTATATTACCTAAAAGCTATACTAAAAACTAAATAAAATAAACAAAGAAAGCAGGCAGAAACGATGATGTTGAAACAAACATTTGGTCGGTTTTTAGTTAACGTTAAAAAATGTAAACACTTCCAGCTGCTCTCAGATTGAGGTTAGGTTTCTGCTAACATAGAGGCTTTATGACCTATACTGCAGTCAGCAGGGGGAGATAGAGAGGGTCTGGCTCCACTTTTGGATGTTTTTGTTATGATTAATGCTGCAAAAACAATAAATTTGAGACAGAAACTTAAGTCTTAAGTTAAAATATCCAAATTTGGTACTACAGAAAACCTAACTAACTTCATCAGGAAACCCTAAATACTCAATCTAACATTGCTTATGCAGTTTTATGATGTTACTTAGCAACAGATAGTACTTCTCATCTCACCAAACTAAAGGCCTTTTTTAATATTGGTTTTCTTAGTGAAACTTACAAAAAATGGAACAAAACTATGATTGGAAATTAACGTCGTTGTAATGCGTGAACTAATAAGATTCCCCACAAGTAGAAAAGTAAACACGTGTTTGTGTGTGTGAGCATACTGAAGAGTTAGAGCAGGGGCCCCAAACTATTAAGGGACATTTTGTTGGTTGCGTAAAAGCAATAAAAAAAACAGCCTTACAGATTACACAACACTATTTGGTGTACCATAGGACAGTTTATTTTTGGTTTTGGCAAGTTGCCTGTGTAACACACTTTTACTATTATATGTTTGGATAAGAACAACAGGAACTGTTGATCAGCCTAAATCAGACCCTAACTCTAATGGTTACCAAACAGTTAAGATAGCAACGTTTGGCACCTGGACCTTTACCTGGAATGTGAGGACATTTTAATTGTGAGGACGTTGTCCGGTCTTCAAAAGGTTGTTTTAGGATTGAGGTTACATTAGGTTAGAGTAGAGTCCCCACAGGTACATAATTAGAAATGTGCATGTGAGCATACTGTGCGTCATAAGGAATAGAGGGATCACTGTGTGACTCAGTTGTGGATTTAAACCAGTATTTTTTTGCTAAGCCAGTCATTTGTTGCTGCTGGTTTTATGTGACTCCACCGCTGGACTGGCCATCGGGCATACCGGGCATTTGCCCGGTGGGCCGATTTTGGGCCGGGCCTTTTTTATTTTTATTTTTTTATTATTTTTTTACTAATGGTACTAG